TGCGGGGCCAAGCGGACACACGCCTGAAAAAAAAAAAAAAAAAAAAAAAAAAAAAAAAAAAACACGACTGTCGGCATGCGTCGCAAGAGTTGCTGCTGTGAGATGGGCTGGTGGGGATACGCGAAGCGTAAAGAATTTTCATGCGCAGACGAGGGTTCTTGAGATCGGGGCCCGAATGCGCCCCCGTCGGAGCGCGCCCTGCAGACAGGGTGAGCCCCCGCCCACGGGGCAGCAGTAGTTCCTGAAGGCGGAAGGCGGTGGCCGATGCTCACGCCGTCGCCTCCGACGAGCGCGGACATGGGCAACGGCTCGCAGCCCTCGCTCGGCAGGGAGATCAGATCGACTCGGTCGAACGTCATCGGCGCAATCGCGACGGACTCCTGGTCGCATGACTGCGCGAGGGCTCCCGCGGGAGTGAGGTCAGTCGGGGCCACTCCGAAGGCATCGACCGCCTCCTGGAGCGCCGCCAGAGCCTCCTGCTGAGCGGCCGTGGGAGAAGGGAGCTCCTTTGGCCTTAGCCAGCTCGAGCCAGCGTAGATCTCGCTGATAGCTCTGATGTCGACGGGCACCAGTTTTGGGGGATGACTGGCTCGCTGGAGCCGCCTCTTCGCAGTTCGAGAAAGATTTGAAGTCGCGAACGAGTAATCTACATCACCAGGAAAAGGGGGCAAGCAAATATCCCGACGTCGCGGGGGGGGGTGAGGTCGGGCCCCGCGCGCATCTGCGTCGCGGGAGGGCAAGGCCGCGGAGCCCCTTAGAACGGTCCCGAAGGCGGGCGGGGCGACCGCCTCCGGGGCCCCATGCGTCATGGTACTAGAGTGCGACGCTCTCCCCCGTAGCTTCGCGCATCTGCTCAGGGATCCCAGCGCCGCGCTCTACTTGTTCGGCCACGTGCTCGAACGGGGTGGGAGCGACCATCGCGCGGCCATCCTCGCGAGCGGTGCCTGTGAATACGCTGACCTCGTCAACGAATCCGAACTTCAGGAGGCCGTCGCCCCCGCGAGACTTGGGCCTGCTCTCGCCCCGGGGCTGGCGTCGCCCGCGGCGGCTCGCCAATCTCCAGCATTACGGGACTCATGCTCGATGGCGCACATGTACTCATACAGCTGCGCCTGCCGCATCATGACCTCGACGCCGACCGCGCTGGGTAGGCCCAGGAGGTCCAACGTCATCAAATATAACCCACCATCCGCACGATCGACTCATTGTTCGCGACCCCGATACTATCGCGATACAGCCGGTAGTAAGAGACGAACTGGTCGAAGTGCTCGATGGAGCCTCCACGCTTGCGGTCCAGGAAGCGAAGACGCCGCGCAGTCGTGCGAGGGCCGTCGAGCGGCCAGTCAGGGAAAGGCTCCCCCCTCAGGCGATCGACGCTCTCGTGGAACAGCACTCCCTGGCGCAACCCATCGGCGAGCAACAGCGCCGGCTGGAGGCGAGCGTCCGATGCAGCCTCAGCCTCGCGGTGCGCAGCCTGAAACGTGGCTATCTTGCGGATCGCGTTCCAGCTGGGGTTGGGCGCCAGCTTCAGCCCGATGTCGCCACGCACGACCTCCGCGCCGTCGAGGGCGACGGGATGGCCACGCCTCGCCACGGAGGTCGACTCGACATGCGCCCACTGTCCAGCCGGCCCTGGCACGGCCCCTGAAGCCAGCGGCACCGCCGCGCCCGGGGCGCCCGCGAGTGGCGCCGCCACCAGCGCGGCGGGCGCTGCACGGGCAGCAGGTGCGGGCGGCACAGGCTCAGGAGGCCCGAAGGCGGCAGCTGCCATCAGCGCTGCAGCCACGGCAGCGCCAGCAGCAGGGGCCAGCGCGTCGCCTCCTCCCGGCGCGGGCGCGGCGTCGGCGGCCGCGGGGCCTCCGAACGTGAAGTGCACCATCGCGCCCGACGGCGGCACCACGGGAGGACGCCCAGTTGCGCGCGCAGCGACCAGGTAGACGTCCCGCGCGTAGCCATCAGCTCGATCTGGATCGCCGCCTTCTCGGCCGCTGTCAGGGCTCTGCGTAAACTGTATAGGTTGCCAGCATCCAGGCCTGGAGGTCGAGCGCGAGGACCACCCTCGAAACGGACAGGTCATGCATCTCCTCGTACACGCACGTCACCGCTTGGCGACGAAATCAGCACGCGGTGCGAAGACCACCTCGCATCAATCGGACTCTGAAACACTCGACCCCACACGCGCCGCTGATGCCACAGCGGCGAAGCGGCGTACAGCACCCAGGCCCCCTGACGGAACCCCACTGGGGACGGCTCCTGAGCCATCCATCAGGGCTGCTGGAGCGCGGCGAGGGCGTACACGCGAGACGATCCCAACGGAGACTCGCATCAGGGCGCTGGCGAAGGTCAGCACGTTCACCACCATCACCAGGAGCACGAAGGAAAGCAAGCCGAAACCCCAGCCGTCACCGCCAGACCCGGTGCTGGCCAAGGCGGGCGCAGGCGCCAGCTCCACGCCGGACGGCGCCGGCGGGCAAGCCGCAGACGGGTGCACGTGGAGAAGGGCGCCCGTGGGGCAAGCTGGGCACTGCGGGCAGGCGGGGCACGCAGGACACTTGGTGGACCAGCCAAAGATGGTCTGTGAGACTGCCCCGATGATCCAATCGGCGTACCACCCCCAACTCAGCCAGGCCAACAAGACCGGGGGATGCTGTCGCATAGCGCTAACGCCAATAACAGCTTGAGAACAATCGGTTGCGGGCGTGATGACACGCGCGGCCGTCTGTCCCAAGCAAAATACCCTCATACCATATTCACATACACGCACTGCAACACATACATGTGCATACATCGATATCTGTATGTATATACATATAAGTGTTCTCGTGTGAATATGAAGACATATATATATATATATATGTACGTATACAAAGCGGTTCTTGCCTCGGGGCGCCCTGGCGGGACACCTCTGGGAGCGCTCTTGAAGCTTCTGGGGGACCTCTTGCGCCGTCTTGGGCATACCTTGGGCGTTCTCGGGCGCCCTAAGGCCAAACAGTGAGTGGGCCTGGGGACTCCTGTGCCGTTCGGAGCCGTTCTGAGGGCGGTGGCCCCAAGTTGCGTGGGGAGGTCCCTGGACCAGAGCCCCCTTCCCTGTCCACCGGGATATTCGCACATATGTATATATAACACATATATATACGAATATACATACATACATACATACATACATACATACATACATACGTACGGACGTACGTACGTACGTATATACACACATACTTACATAGACATATCCATAGACGTATATATAGACATAGTCAAAGACAAAGACACATGCAAATCCATATATGGCTATTGACACATACATATATATGTGTGTACATCGAATTAGGATTTTGTGTATGTGTCTGGGTGTGCGTCTGTGTATGTATGTATGCATGTATGTATGTACGTATGCATGCGTATATGTATGTATGCATGTGCGAATGTATGTATGTGTGTATGGATGTATGTAGGTATGTATGGATGTACGCTTGTATGCATGTGTACACATCGGTATGTATGTACGTATGTTTGTATCTACGTGTGTTTGTTTGCACACATGTATATGTATGCATGTGTGTATGTGTATGGATGTACGTGTGTATGCATGTGTTTATATATGTATGTGTGCACGGATGCATGCATGCTGGTATGTAGGTGTGTATGTATGCATGCATGCATGTGTGTATGCATGTGTGTATAGTAGTGTGTGTATGTAGCTGTGGCTAGATGTATGTATAAATGCACGTACGTATACATGAATGCATTCATGCATGTATGTATGGATGTACAGACGCATGTATACACGCAGGTAGTTAAGCGGGTCTGTACGTATGGGCGTGGTCATGCAAGTGGGTATAGGTGTACGGATGTATGAACGTACGCATGCATGTATGTATGTGTGTACTATGTATGTATGTATATGTGTATACGTGAGCGCATGTAGGCTTGTATGTATATATGCATGTATACATGCATGCATGTATACATGCATGTGTGTGCATGTATGTGCATACGTACGTATGTGTGAATGGTTGTTTGCCTGCGTGTACGTATGGGTGTATGTATGTCTGTTTGTATGCTTAGTGCATGTATGCATGTATGCATGCATGTACGCATGTGCCGACAAATAACATTACATACACAGACGTACCACACACACAGAGATACATCACATAAACCATACCAACATGTAGCATACACATGCCCTAAACGGTGCGGTCTGTTGGGGGGTCGTACTTCTGTGCCCTGGCGGGCGGGTCGGGAGTACCCTCACGGACTGGCCAGGCGGCACTTTTTAAAGCGGGTGGGCAACTCCGTCAGCCCCTTCCGCTTGCCCTGCATGAACGCCGCGCGCTCGTGGGGCGTCATGTTCCTCGTGCTGATGTCCACGAAGATGTCGCTGAGCTTCGCCTCCGTGCCGTCGAACTCCCAGCCGAATGGCAAATCCTGACTGGTGACCATCAGCTGTAGAGCTGCGAGTTCGTCGTCAGCATCGTCGAGATCCAGTACTGGTTCCAAGCACCCGCACGAGCGGACCACACCAGGGAGGTCTGGCGGGCGGACCATCACGGGCAGGTCAGGCGGACGGGCCCTCACGGGCGGGTGGGGCGGGCGCGGGCACCGAAGCGAACGGCGCACATCGCGAGGAAGTTTCCTGGCGAACCGTCCCCGAGGAAAGTGTGGGGACGTCTCGGGCGAGAGCGAGACTCCCCGACGTCGTGAGCGCAGCCCCTTGGAAGAGTGTGAAAAGAAATCTAGGGCGGGAACGGTTGCTGTCGTTCGGGGCCCCGCAGCACCATTCGAGCAGCCACTGATGCCCGGATCCTATTCGAGGCGTCTGGCCAACGACTCGGGCGCTGTAAACGCATCCCTTCCCCTCTCCACTCCCCCCTCCGCCTCGCGCTCTTTTGTTCTCTCTCTCTCTCTCTCTCTCTCTCTCTCCACTCGATCAGTGCACGTTCTTCTTGAGGAGGAGGAGGAGGAGGAGGAGGAGGAGGAGGAGCGTCCCACTGGCCCACCAACGAGCATCGCGCTGCCCCGCTTCTGCTGGATGGTGCGGTTGATCTTCATGAGGTGCATCATAGCCTCCGATCCTCCTCCTCCTCCTCCTCCTGCCTCCTCCTCCTCCTCCTCCTCCTTCCTCCTCCTCCTCGGGGCCGTGGACGAAAGATTCCAGTCGGAAGCGACGCACGGCCTCCGCTCCTCTCAGCCTTCTTTTCCCCGCATCGCCCACGCCCACCTCGATCGCCTCTGTGCCCGCTCTGCTGCCCAAGCGCACTCCTGCGAGGCAACTGCTGGGAGCTCTTCGCAAGAACGACTGCGCGCTATTGAGCCCGATTCCGGGGCCATTGGCCGAATGACCCACAGTCATCGTCGAAGCGGCAGGCCGGGTGGAACCTTAAGCGGAATCGCGCACGACCAGGCCAGCTTTCGACCACGGGCATGCCAGCGCCGAGGCTGAGTTTAACTTCCCAGGGTTTGCATCCTCAGTGTGCAGGTCTGTTCGCCAGGACGCAGGCTTCTTTCCATCAGCTCTTGCGGATTTGCGTGGGCACGGTCAGACCGAGGTGGTGTACTGTACGAGAGGCACCGATGTATGCTGCACCCTGCGAAATGCTTAAGAAATCATGGGTTAGGAAACTCAGAGTCTCAGAATTTGAATAAAAACCCAGAATTCAGATTGAAATCTTAGGACTTACATGGAAACGTTAAGAATCATCGAGACTCTGGCCAACAACTTAAGTTTTCTCAAGCATCGCCCAGGGTGTACCACTGCCCTGCACGCCGAGCGGAAGAAGGGAGGTGTTGCCGGCACGATTCCATACAGGGAGGGAGTGCGGGCACGGAGGGAGACGATGACAGCGAGAGGGAAAGAGGCAGGAGGATCTGGACAATGAGGCTACTCCAGATTTCGTAAGAAAAGGGAGGGGGTCTGGACCCTCCAAGACAAGCCATTTCAGACCTCCCCCGTGAGAGAACCCTCCAAAACATCGTCCCCAGACCCCCCCAGGCCCTCCAAGATAGCTTGGAAAAGACCCCCCCCGAAATGAGACCCCCCTCCCTTTATTACGAAATCTGGAGTAAGGAGAATGCGGGGGGAAGGAGGGCAAACTGTGGTAGCTCAGGCTCGGACGATCCAAGAGCGTGGACGCGTAGCAGAAAACGCGTGGGGCAACGAGGATATGACCGAGCCAAACATATGGAACATCAAGGATGCGGAGTGGAAGAAGGAAGAAGAGTAAATCCAGGGAGGAGAAAACGCAGAAACGGAGGCAGGAGGCTGTCAGGCGAGCCGCTTAGGGAATCCCATCCCACGCTGCACGAGGCCCCCTTCCGGAGCCCAAGGAGTATGAGCGATCGTGGTGTTCAAATTCAAAACGCGCGTGGCATGCACATGCGCGCGAACCACCTGAGGAACACTACCCTGGATGCAACAACACGTGAAGTACATAATAGCAGCGCGCGCCTCCCTCACCTTTATTACATCTTCTCGGAGGCTAATCACGTTCAGGAGCACAGCGTCATTTGACGCGGGCGACGGCAACAGGTATGCCGGTATGCCAGCGCCAGGTCATCATGCTAGGGGTAAGGTGGGAGGGGGTAGGGGGAGGGGTGGGAGGGTGGGGTGGGGTGGGAGGGGGGAGGGGGTGTGCCGTGCCGAAAAATGAAGGGGGTCGGGGCGGAGGGGTGTGCCGTGCCGAAATAAAGGGGTCGGGGCGGAGGGGTGTGCCGTGCCGAGATAAAGGAGTCGGGGCGGAAGAGCGCGCTGGCTGGTGGCACAGGCTGGTGGGTGGAGTGGGGGGTAGCGAAGGGGGTGTGCCGAACCGAAATAAAGGGGTCGGGGCGGAAGTGTGTGCCGTGCCGAAATAAGGCGGTCGGGGCGGAGGGGCGCTGGTGGCCGTGCCGTGCCGGAATAAAAGGTCGGGGCGGAGGGGTGTGCCGTGCCGAGGGGGTAGGGGCGCGCGCTGGCTGCGAAAAAAGGGTTCGGGGCGGAGGGGGTGCCGGGCCGAAATAAAGGGCGGGGCGGAGGGGCGCACTGTTGGTGGGCGGGGCGGGGGGGTCGCAGTGCGGTGCCGAAATAAAGGGGTCGGGCGGAGGGTATGCCGTGCCGAAAAAAACGGTCGGGGCGGAGGGGCGCGCTGGCTGGTGGGTGGGGCGGGGGGGGCGTAGGGGGTGTGCCGTGCCGGAATACAGAGGGGTCGGGTCGGAGGGGTGTGCCGTGCCGAAATAAAGGGGTCGGGGCGGAGGGGCGCGCTGGCTGGTGGGCGGGGGGAGGCGGAGGGAGTGTGCCGTGCCGAAATAAAGGGGTCGGGGCGGAGGGGTGTGCCGTGCCGAAATAAAAGGGTCGGGGCGGAGGGCGCGCTGGCTGGTGGGTGGGTGGGGTCGGGGCGGAGGGGTGTGCCGTGCCGAAATAAAGGGGTCGGGGCGGAGGGGCGTGGCCGTGCCGTGCCGGAATAAAACGGGTCGGGGCGGAGGGGTGTGCCGGCCGAAAAAAGGGAGCGGGCGGAGGGGCGCACTGGCTGGTGGGTGGGGCGGGGGGGGGGAGTAGGTGGGGTGCCGTGCCGAAATAAAAGGGTCGGGGCGGAAGGGGCGCGGCTGGCTGGTGAGCGGGGGGAGGCGGACGGGGTGTGCCGTGCCGATATGAAGGGGTCGGGGCGGAGGGGTGCGCCGTGCCGAAATAAAAGGGTCGGGGCGGAGGGACGCACTAGCTGGTTGGTGGGGAAGGGGGGGGGCGTAGGGGGTGTGCCGTACCGAAATAAACGGGTCGGGGCGGAGGGGTGTGCCGTGCCGCAATAAAAGGGGTCGGGGCGGAGGGGCGCGCTGGCTGGTGGATGGGGCGGCGGAGGGGGTGCGCCGTGCCGGAATAAAAAAAAGGGTCGGGGCGGAGGGGTGTACCGCGGGAAATAAAAAGGGTCGGGGCGGAGGGGCGCGCTGGCTGAAGGGGTCGGGGGTAAGGGGCGCGCTGGCTTGTGGGTGGGGGGGGCGGAGGGGGTGTGCCGTGTCGGAATAAAGGGGTCGGGGCGGAGGGGTGTGCCGTGCCGAAATAAAAAAGGTCGGGGCGGAGGGGCGCACTGGCTGGTGGGTGGGGTGGGGGGGGGGGGGGGGTGTGGGGTGGGGGGGTGTGCCGTGCCGAAATACAAGGGGTCGGGGCGGAGGTGTGTGCCGTGCCGAAATGAAGGGGTCGGGGGGCGCGCTGGCTGGCGGTGGGGGGGCGAGGAGGTGTGCCGTGCCGAAATGAAGGGGTCGGGGCGGAGGGGTGTGCCGAGCCGAAATAAACAGGTCGGGGGGGCGGAGGGACGCACTGGTGGTGGGTGGGGGGGGGGTGGGGGGGGCGTAGGGGTGTGTGCCGTGCCGGAATAAAAGGGGTCGGGGCGGAGGGGTGTGCCGTGCCGCAATAAAAAGGGTCGGGGCGGAGGGGCGCGCTGGCTTGTGGATGCGGGGAGGCGGAGGAGGTGTGCCGTGCCGAAATAAAAGGGGTCGGGGCGGACGGGTGTGCCGTGCCGAAATAAAAGGGTCGGGGCGGAGGGGCGCACTGGCTGGTGGGTGCTGGTGGGGGTCGGGGCGGAGGGGTGTGCCGTGCCGCAATAAAGGGGTCGGGGCGGAAGGGCGCACTGGCTGGCGGGCGCTGGTGGGTGAGTGGATGCGGGGGGGGGATGGAAGGTCGCGCTGGCTGGTGGAATGTGTAGGTGATGAGGGGTGTGCCGTGCCGAAATAAAGTAGTCGGAACTCTAGACACTCTGTGCAAGAGAATTAATGGCACATTACACCAGCATTAAGCGCTTCAACACGCTGCGGAGTAAGCCCGCCCCCAACCCAAACCCGATTCGCCGACAGACGAAAAACCGACAACATGATGGCAAGACTGTGCTCAATACGGCCTGTATGACGTGGTACGGACTGGCAACAAGGGAAGGGGTGGAGGCCGAAACCTCAAGTGGATGGGAGGCGGATGTCCGCAGCGATGACAGCAGGCGGGGACAAAGCTGGCGGCCAGCACCCTGGCGAAAAAGAGTGGCCACAGGCGGTCTGCCACAAATGGCGGTTACACGCTGGAGTCGCCGGTGATGAGGCTAGATGTATGCAAGGTCTCACGGCTAGTCGCATGTGGGTCAAGAGCCCGTACCACATCGACAAGCACCCTTGCAGTGTGCTCTGCACGCTTGTGAGCCCATCTTATCTCCCACTTCAACGACTCCACGTCGACACGCGTAGCTGCTCCCCTCAATTTCAAACATCCTTCAACGAAATCCTCCAGGGATACACGGCCCGATTTCTCTGCGTCGATGATATTGAAGAACTTCCAAGCGTGTCTTACGTCAACGTCCAACGCCGTAAACCAGGCCTGCACTCTTGGTCTGGCCAGCTGCTCGTGGACCTCGGCTGCGGTCAACCCATCGCCCCCATCATCTGAGAACTCGTTCATTTCCTTGAAGAGCATTCTGAGGCGATCTGTGTGTTCCTGCCTCTTCTTGTTCTGAGTCTCAACTGTCAGCTCTAGGTCTTGCTGAGCCCCCTCGATGGCACTCTGGCAGAATACACCTGTAACAACGTTGAGTATCCGCCACCCTGTCGGCGTGTGAAAAACGCTGTTCCGTTGGTCGTCGTCGTCGTGTCGTCTCCGTCGTCTCCTCGTCGTCTCCGTCGTCGTCTGCGTTTCCATCGTCTCCTCGTCGTCTCCGTCAGTCGTCGTCTCCGTCGTCCCCCGTCTCCTTCCGTGGTCCCTCCTCCTTAAGCGCGCCAGCCAAATTGACATTGAGCAACGTCGAAACTGAGTCGAAGGGAAATCCCTTCCCTTTGCTCCCCTCCCCGCCGGGGCGGGGCAGGTCCGCATGTCGGTCCCAATCCCAACCGACTGGTACAATCCCAATCCGCGCGGAAATCAAACTTGTCCGAATCCCAACCGATGGAGGATAAGCCCACACTCGAATACACTATAGAGAGCGGCTCAAGACAAGTGTCAAAACCAAATGAAACTTCATATGTCACCGCATGTATTCTGTAAACCAACATACGTGCC